CGATGGGAACAGGTGCGATGGGAACAGGTGCGATGGGAACAGGTGCGATGGGAACAGGTGCGATGGGAACAGGTGCGATGGGAACAGGTGCGATGGGAACAGGTGCGATGGGAACAGGTGCGATGGGAACAGGTGTGATGGGAACAGGTGTGATGGGAACAGCTGTGATGGGAACAGGTGCGATGGGAACAGGTGTGATGGGAACAGGTGTGATGGGAACAGGTGTGATGGGAACAGGTGTGATGGGAACAGGTGTGATGGGAACAGGTGTGATGGGAACAGGTGTGATGGGAAAAGGTGTGATGGGAACAGGTGTGATGGGAGGCGCTTGCAGGGCGCACCTCGGAGAGCGGCACGAGGCGGTGGGGGCACTGGTCGAGGAAGCAGCGCCACGACCCCGCGGCGTCGCGCCAGAGCACGAGCGGGCGGCCCACAATGGTGATGGCGTGCGGGCGAGTCGCGTCCATGTCAGCCGTCACGCCCACGGCGTACCACGCGCGACTCCACTCCACCGTCCCGCCCTCCTCCGCCCTCCCCTCCGCCGCTGACGCCGCTCTCAGCTGCGCCTCTGCGTCGCCCGTTACAGTCACATCGTCCCTGCTTTCGCTGGACGCCGACTCCGCCGCGGGCGCCGCCCTGGCGACGCGGGACGGCGGGCGATGGGGGCGGCGGGCGGACACGGGCGGGCGCAAGCCCAGCTGTGGCAGGCGCAAGCTGCTCGTGCTGAGTTGGTGGCGACGCGGTTGCAGCGGATGCAGCGCCGCGCGGTGGAGGAGGGGGCGCGGCGCAAGGGAATCTGGGCTGGACGCGACGCGAGCAAACCGGCCCGAGGGACAACGACGCGCCGCCAGTGGCGCCGCAGAGCCGACTGCGGCGCGCGGACGGACGCGACAGCCCAGCGCTGCCTCCATGGCGGGCGGCGGGATCCTCTACTCGGGGGCTCGTCTCGGAAGGATGCGGATGCGCGCTGGACAGCCGGCTCCGAACGGCTGACTCCTCGCACGCACACTGCTCTCTCGGCCTACTGCAGCTCTTTTCTGCGCGTCCCTGCAGCAGCCAGTGCTCGAAGCAGCGAGCGAGCCTGGAGAAGCGCGGAAGTTTGTGAGTCGTGAGTCACGACTGACTAGCTACCAGTGCGCCAGGTTCCGCCTGTTGGAGCGTCAAGTTTTGGATGAGGGGAGTCCCGCTCCTACACTTCTTAAATCCCCAAAGTTACCACATTTAGCGTTGTAACACAGCATTTTACAAAAAGGGCGGACACGACCAGCTTTTGTTCACGAGACGGCACTCCAGCTGCACGTACCTCGAGTCGTGTGACTCACGTTACTACATGCAGCGTGCGCGCGAACTAGGGTCCAGCACTGCGTCCTGCCCACTACAGAGGTGGCCCCTCTAATGGCTCGCACACTTTCGCCAGTACAGCACGAGACTCGCCAAAACCACCTCCGCTTTGGCAAACCACATGGCCAGGCAACTCGCATGTGCAAAAATGCCAGACCTATTCTTCACGAGGGAACCGGTTACCTAGGTTTCCACGCGGACCTGGCACTGTTGAAGTTTGTGTGGGGATATGTGTCCACGCGCTAGTGGGGTGGACCCGGCTCACAGTGCGTTCGTTTCTAGGTACGGTGATCTGTTTTGAACCCCGGCACGTGTTTGGGCACTAAAATTCCCAAAATGTACGCGTTGGACACGCCCTGAGGGCTGGCTATCGCGTTATGTGGAAGGCAGATGCTGGGGTTAGAGCGTGGTACACCTGGCAATGTTTCACGCAGCTAGATCACCAACATCACAACCCTAGGATCATTAGCGGTTAAGGGCGCGGTACACAGTTGTTCAAGAGCTGTTCAAGATGGAAATGACGAACAATGCGTTCAAGCTAGCTTGAACGGGGTTCAAACGAGGTTGGTGAGAAAATTCTGGTCAAAATAAACATTTTGGAACATGTTACAAAAGCGGGTGGACAAGACTCGTCTAAGAACTAATTTCAGTCGAGATGACGAACCTGCCTACAACACTGGAAGTTGTGACTCCTGTAACCGTTTCGCTACCTTCTCACTCACGGGCGACTGCTACTTGGTGCGCGAAAATCCGTTTCGTCGATTATGTTGACCAACGATGCGGTACATAATATTTTTGCTGACGAACGAGTTGTTCAAACCAGCAGTCGTGTGTTCGTCAGCTGGCTGATCAAGACGCGCAACCTTCTTGACCAGCCTAGGTACAACTTACCGTAGTAAACAGGGTACCCAAAATTTGTGTTGTATGATCAAGTCTTGAACAGCTCTTGAATAACTGTGTACTGTGAACATTTTATGGGGACACATCGCATGTATTGGAAATTCGCATTGACCATGTTGACTGCGTTACTGACCGAAACGCAACAGCCTCTGTAGGTAAATTTTCCTTTTCCTTGGAAGGGGTTTACTGCTACGCGTACAACCCCAACATTTCGGACTTCGCACGTTCGGCTGACATCCACCATTCCGAGGCTGCCCCGCGTCGCCCCCGGTTGTCCGCTAGCCAAACCTGCACCCAACCTCGCATCTCCGAGGTTCCCTCCTAGCTACAATAGCTACTATATTATCACGTGCCTTCATTGTATTGTGAGTTCATTGAGTCACAGCCTCGTTATCCGTTTTCCGCGCAACTCTGTTTTACAACTCATACACCTGGTATCTGAGCTACCTACCTAGTTCACCTCGCTTTTCGAGTTTAGTGGCACAGGTTGGCTAGTACAATGGACTGCACGACGTTGGCTGCAAGGTTTGTAATTCAAACCTGCCCGACTCCGATAGTTCTTACCACGGATATGGGCGCACTGACCCGCTACTGAAACAAGCCCTTTTATCCCAATGGTCTAGTGGTTGGGATTCTGACAGAAGCAGTTAACAAAATGATGGTGCAAATGGCAGAAATGCAGGAGAGCATTAAGTCATTGATGACAGAAGTGGAGCATCTACGTTGAGAAAACGTCGAGCTACGACAGACGCAAGGTGAAGCGTGTCAGGAGTCGCCCGTTGAAGAAGGCGATACCACCAGCCATGGCGTGAGTGGCGTCGTTACAAGTGGCAAACTCACACGCAGAAACGACGAGAGCGATAGGCGAGAAGCGCCGGCACCAACAACACTTGCAGTTATTACAATCAAGAAAAAACCCGCGAGCCCGCCCCCGTTCAACCCGACCGACAAGGCGACCACAGTTAAGGGGTGGCTATTTGGCGTAAAGGTTTTATTTACTGCAGCGCGAGTTGACGACGATGCCACTCGTATTAATTACTCGGTTTTGCTTCTCCAAGGACCCACTCTGGAGTGGTGTCGACGTACCTTGGACACGGGGACCCCGACAGGTGTGACACATGCGGCAGACGGGACCTCAACTTCGGCTAATCAAGTGGCAACATCAATATTCAGTGTGACTAGGATTCGCACGTGGAAGGAGTGGGGCGTAGCCTTGCAAGATCGTTTCGAGCACGTATCCGCCTCGGAGCAAGCCCGCATGAAGCTGCGTGCCTGGTCGCAGTTGGCTTCTGTTCAGGACTACCAAGTGGACGACATGGCGGAGCTGGAGCGGTTGGATAAGTATATCAGCGGACTTAATTACGAGATAGAGTATGAGGTTTGCCGATGCCGCCCGACTACGTTCCTGGAAGCCGTACGGCTGGCAGGATCTACAGATGCGCTGATGCAGTGGGCGAGGGGAGGTTCCCGGGAGGGAAACCGTTTCGCAAACAGACCCAACGGGCCACAATCAACGGAGTCCATGCACCCGACCGCCCCTTTCCGGGGCTGTGTTATAAGTATGGGAAATCGGGTCACATGTCTAGAGACTACCACGAGAAAACGTCGGCGAAAAGGAACGACGGGAAAGAGCCAGGAAATAGGAAGAGTCTGTGATATACGGGCCCCTTACCGACTGTGCTCTGTCGCCCAAACTTCACCATCCCCACCGAGTCGTGGTTCGATTCATGCAACGACGCCGGACGGCTGCGACGTGCTTCTGAGACATGATCGGCTGCGACTACACAACCCCATCATCGACTCGACGACGGAATCGTGCAGTATCAGCAAGCACGATGGGCTCATTACATTACCTGCATGGACCCCGGACTACATTCAGGCCCAGTGCGTCAAAGCCATCACTATTGCCCGCCATTTCAATCGAGGCGCGCAGCTGTTTGCTGTGTGTTTGCGCGAGTTGGCAACTGACACCGACGGAAAGGACATCGAGAAGCTGTGCACAGGACGCCCCGAGGACCACAAAATACACAGTAACCTGGCGCGCAACTGACTGTTCGTACACAGTGGCGACTGACTCAGCCGGAACTCGAGGAGCTACGAAGCCAAATTGACGGACTGTTGGAGAAGGGGTTTATATGACCCAGTACATCTCCCTTCGCAGCTCCGATCATGTTTACGCCGAAAAAGGACGGCGGCCTTCGCATGTGCATCGACTGTCGTGCGCTCAACAGGGCCACCATCAAGTCCCGCTATCCAATCCCACGTACCGACGACCTCCTCGATCAGCTTCGCGGTGCTCGCTCTTTCTCGAAAATCGACTTCGTGGCGGTTACCACCATATTTGGGTCTTCGCCGACGATTGCTACAAGACCGCGTTTTGAAACCGCTACGGAAGCTACTGTCAGAATAGTGAAGGAAGGAGTGACTGAACTAGCAAGCAGGTGGGTACAAGTAGGAAACCTAAAAGTGTTGTACCCTATATGAACTACCCCACTACAGCCTACACAGGCTATAGCATATAAGTTTGACACACCCCCATAGGCAAAGTGGGGGAGAACAAGAGGTCAGAAGACCGGTCAAGAAAGGCAAAGCAAGCTCAGGGTGGATCACGACGTCACCACGCATTCTGAGCACAAGAAAATGGCCACAAGGCCAGTTCACATGCAGAGTTATATAAAGGAGAACAAGCAATACAGTGATCACAACCTAGCAAGTGTAAGCATGCAGGTATATGTATAGAGATCACAGTACAAGCAGAGTCAAGAAGTAAGCAAGTGAGGCACAGTAGGCACAAGGCCTAGAACAGTACAGAAACGCTGATGATCACAAGGCTGAAGTGCCTTGGTGAAGACATCAGCAGTGTTGGCCCGAGTGGCCACGTAAGCAAGATGAAGCTGACCACGCTGCTGCAACTCTCGAGCAAGGAAGTAGCGCAGAGCGATGTGCTTCGTTTTGTGCTCCAGTCTGTGCTCCTGACACAAGGCAATCATGGCCTTGTTGTCGACGTACAGCACTGGAGGAGAACGAGGCGGCTCTCCCAGGTCGGTCAGCAGGTAGGTGAGCCAGCGTAACTCCTGTGCAGCCATGGCCCCTGCGTAGATCTCAGCCTCACAACTGGAGCTGAGAACAGAAGACGAGCGGGTAGACCGCCAAGAAACAGAGCCGGAGCCAAGGCTGAAGGTGTAACCCTGTGACGACCGCTGCGTAGCCAAGTCGTCAGCCCAGGAAGCGTCTGCGTGACCAGTGAGGACAACTCGAGCCCGTCCTCCAAGCACAAGCCCCATGCCCGACGTACGGCACAAGTAGCGCAACACCTTCTTAGCGGCATCCATGTGCTCCTTCCTGTGTCTGCCAGGAGCGACATAGCGTGCTAGAATGTTAAGAGGGTAGGCAAGGTCAGGTCGAGTGCAGGTCATCAGGTACATGAGGCAGCCCACAAGCTCTGGATACGGGCCACTCGGCTCTACGGACTCGTCCGAAGGTGGAGCTGAGAGCGAGTGACCGGTAGGCAGAGGAGTGGACTGTGGCGAGGAGTACGTGAAGCGGAAGCGCTGAAGGACCTGCTGCACCATGTGTGACCGAGTCAAGGTAATGATGCGCTGTGCTCTGTCCCGGGTGATCCGCAAGCCAAGATAGCTTGTCAGCTCACCCAGGTCTGTGCACGTGTGTCTCTTCTGCAGCTCCGACTTCACGTGGGCGAGTCCCTCAGTGTCAGCAGTAGCAAAGACCAGGTCGTCTACATACACGAGAACGTAGAACGGCGGCAGAGTGGTGTCGGTGCGTAGAAACAACGACGGGTCGGCAGTAGAAGGAGCAAACCCAAGAGCAGCAAGAGTCGTCCTCAGTGTGTCGTGCCACTCACGGGGTGCCTGGCGGAGACCGTAGACTGGCCGCCGGAGGCTCCACTGGGTACCAGCAGGAAACGACCCAGTGAAGCCAGGTGGGCGGCGCAGCCAGATCTCCTCGTGCAGGCTGCCCTATAGGAAAGCAGTGCTGAAGTCAAGAGAGTGAAGCTCGTAGTCACGCTGAGCGGCGACGTGCAGCAGAACCCGAAGAGTGGTCATCTTCGGGGTAGGGGAGAAGGTCTGGAAGAATTCAACTCCCTCTCGCTGTCTGAAGCCTCGTGCAACGTAACGCGCCTTGAAGACAGGCGGAGAACCCGGCGGCCGCTTCACCCTGAAAATCCACATGCCACTGACGATGTTCGCCCCAGGCGGGGGAACCTCGTCGACGTAGGTGCCTGTGGACTTCCAGGAAGCCATCTCTGTGTCCATGGCTGTCTGCCACTGAGAGGAGTAGGGACCCTCTATCGCCTCTGCGTAAGAGCGCGGGGTCGGGATGTCTGGTGCATCCGGGTCTCCCTCAGGGGCAAGCAGCATGGACACGAGATGAGGTAAAGCAGCGGCGAAGCACTCAAACTCCTCCTGTCTGTCCTCAAGGACGTCCGTGCCAAGAGCACACTCACCACCGACGGACGGAGGACAGAAAGACTCAGACTCAGACTCAGCAACAAGACTAGCGGCGTAGTCGAGACGACAGGCGGCAGCAAAGTCAACAAGCTCAGCAACTAGAGCAGACGCAACAGTGGACTCAAACGAAGGGTCAGTGACAACAGTGGCCAGGAAACGCGTGACAGTAGGACTAGCAGCACGAAGGGAGTCAGACTCCGGGTCCGGACCGTCAGGAAGAGAGGACACAGGAGGAGACGGCAGAGGGACACGCAGTGGAGCAGTGGAAGGAAGAGGACGCTCATGCGGAACACGACGACCAGTGCGAACAGCGCGAACAGGCGACTCAGGACGAGACTCAGGCGACGCAGGACGAGACTCAGGCTCACGACGCTCCGTAAGACCTCTAGTCGGTCCAGAGTAAGGAGAAGGACCAGGTAGTGTAGAGGCTGGCTGTAACTGCGACTGCGACTGGACAGGCGGCGGACTCAGTAGGGGAGGAGAAGGACCAGTAGAATGCGGGAGGCCAAGTACCTGCTGAAGGAGTGGAACGTAGTACGGCCGCGGCCGCGCAGCGCCTCCAGAAACAGCAGAGACAGCACCAGTACCCGCAGCTCCAGGGTCTCCAGCTACAACTCCCGCAGCACCACCAACTGCAGCACCTCCAGCAGCTCCAGCTCCAGCAGCACCTCCAGCAGCAACAGCTCCAGCACCTCCAGCTCCAACTCCTGCAGCACCACCAGCACCAGCAGCTCCAGTACCTCCAGTACGAGCACCTCCGGGACCAGCGGCTCCAGCACCTCCAGCAGCTCCAACACCAGCAGGACCTCCAGCAGCGCCAGTACCTCCAGTACGAGCACCTCCAGGACCAGCGGCTCCAGCAGCTCCAGCACCAGCAGCACCTCCAGCAGCTCCAGCTCCAGAAGCACCTCCAGCAGCAGGCCCCGTAGCTCCAGCAGCACGGCTACAGCGCCGAGCGTACCACTCACGTAGCCGCTGTGGAGAGAGGGGCTCCCGCCGTGACGGGACACCCGGAGCACCTCCAGACTCAGCACACTCAGGCTCAGCACCCCCAGACTCAGCACCCCCAGGCTCAGCACCCCCAGGCTCCACACGCTCAGGCTCAGCACCCCCAGGCTCCGCACCCTCAGACTCAGCAACCCTAGGCTCAGCACCCCCAGGCCCCGCACCCGTAGGCTCAGCACCCCTAGCAGCACCAGAGTCGACAGCTACCTCGACAGGCTCGACAGGGTCTACCTGGGACACACCTGAGGGGGCAGGACCCTGAGGGGGGAGGGGGTCTACCGGAGGAGCACCTGGTGCGAGGAAGAGCGGCAGGGGGGGGAAGAGGGGCAGTGCGGTAGGGAAAGAGACGGTTGTAAGATACCGACTCGTCAAACGTGACGTCCTGAGAGGACAGAACACGACGCGAGGTGGGGTGGTAAAACTGCCACCCAGGCGCGTCAGGGGGGAAGCCAAGGAAGACGCAGGGAACAGCACGGGAGGACAGCTTGTCCGCGGAAGAATCGCGGACAAAAGCTCGAGATCCCCAGACACGGAACACAGACGCATCGCCAACCTTCCCCGTCCACCGCAGAGTAGGTGTGGTCTCCGGCAAGGAGACACGAGGCTGAAGGTTGATCTGATGCGCAGCGTACTGAACCGCGAACGGCCACAGAAAATGGGGAGCAGCCGCATGGATCATGGACGTACGAGCGACGTCCATGACCATGCCAATGCGGAGCTCAGCAATCCCATTTTGCTGTGGGGAGGCCGGAAGCGTGAACGTCTGGCGGATGCCCTCCGCACGACAGAAAGCCCTTAGAAGGTCGGAGGAAAACTCACCACCCCTGTCTGAGTGCAGACGCAGAACAGGAAGGTCCGAGCCGAAACTCTCGCTGAGCTGGCGACGGGCACCGCGGATCTAGTCGATCAACACCTCAGTGACCTCACCCTTGCGGCGCAAGGGGAAGACTGTGGTGTAACGCGAGTAGTCGTCAACGACCAGCAGGAAGTAACGCTCGTGACCCTGTCCACGGACGCGGGCTGGGCCCCACACGTCCATGTGGAGAGTATGCAGGGGAGCCTCTGTCGGAGGGAACTCGGAAGAGTGAGGAGCGGCGCGTTGCCGGCCCTCAACACAAGGAACACAGGTAGGGGCCGGCCCCGGAGGAAGGGGAGGGAGGGACCGGGGGAGACCAGAGACAAGGGTACGGGAGGCCATACCTCGAAGACGAGGCAGGGAGGGGTGACCAAGGCGGTGGTGCCAAAGGAGAGTCTCGTGTGACAGAGGACGACACGAGCAGGGGGCAGACGCCGGACTAGACCTGGACGCGGCAGCAAACACCTGACCAGACGCGGCTACCTGACCAGACGCAGTGACCGGAGGAGACGCAGTAGTCAGTGTGTACAGACTCGACCCAGGCCGACGGGTGAACGTGGCCAGGTGGCGGCCCGTCCGAGAGCAAGTGCAGTGGGTCACCCGCTGACCTCCAGGGGTGAACTGGTCAACCCACACGTCCTGGAGGTCAGCTCCACTGACCAAGTTCGTAGACAACGAGGGGAGGTGGAGTCCCGACAGCAAGCCCGACGGGGCCGCAGGACACGGTAAAACCGTGGAGGAGTGCGCAAGGACCGGGCCCCCAGAGGGGTCAGCCAGGGAGACTGCGACTGGCCGACTGAGCGGTGTGAGTGTGGTGCTGTCGCGAAAGAAGGAGCGCGAAGCACCGGAGTCAAGTGTGAAAGTGTGGAAGGCCTTTGTAGGTGCAGTACCAAAGAGAGCAGACTCACCAGCACCTGGAGCAGCAGACTCACTCGTACCTGGAGCAGCGGACTCACTAGCACCTAGAGCAGCAGCCTCAATGCCCAGGTGGGGCGGAACACACAGGTAACAGTCACCCTCAGCACTATCAGTCACAGCATACATGGCAGCAAGGATAGCATCGAAATCAAGATCAAAGATAGCAACGTTCTGCGTATGCAGATCACCCCAGCGAGGGAGCTCAACAGCGTCAGGAAATTGGGCGCGCCAGGCGTCAGTCAGGCGACCGAAGCAGCGCTGCGTAGTGTGTGGCAGTCCGCACGTCTCCCCACGGCGCCCGCCGGTGCGAAGAGCGTAAGTGCAGGGACCAGCACCCCCAGACCTCCCACGCCCAGCGTACCACTCACGAAGCTGCTGGGCCGACGGGGTCTCACGGGAACGCGGCTGCTGCTGGAGCTGGCTACCACCAAAGCCTCCACGCTGCGCGGCTCCACCTCGACCAAGCACCACCGCCGCCGCCACCTCCACCACCGCTGCCGCTGCCTCCACCGCCGCTGCCGCTGCCTCCACCACCCCCACCGCCGCCACCGACGCCCCTACTCCCGCCACCACCCCCACCTCCACCGCCACCCCCTCCGCCTCCTCCACCGCCTCCACCGCCGCCCCCACCGTCCCCTCCACCACCCTTGCCCCCCTTGCCCTTGCTGTTGCGGCGCCTCCCACTAGGAGCAGACGCAGCCCCGACCTCCTCAAAGCTAACGAGGTCGACAGCAGCAGCAGAAGCAACAGAGGGGAGAAGGGGGACAGGGGAACACCCCTCAAAGAAAGGGGCGCGAGGGTCGCCGCGAGAAGCACCTACAGCAAACGATACTCTTCTCAGCTGCAGTGAGGCGCTCCTCTAGCAGGTCGATGGTGAGCTCGGTGGGGTAAAGGGAGAGAAAGTGGTCCCTGACTGAAGAAAGGGAGTCAGGGAGACGGGTGACTAGGTAGTAGAGGGTGATGTACATGGAGGGGGGGTTCTTGGCACAGAACTCAGTGGGAAGCGCAGCGCGGTAGCGGGCGTCACTAGTGCGGAGGTGAGTAATGAGGTCAGCGACTGTGGCAAAGGCGGCAAGGTCAGGGAACAGGTACGGCAGGCATGAGGCGACTGAGGGCAGCAGTGGCAGGGGAGGAGTAGCGCGCTACGACAGCGTCATACAAAGACTTAGCAGTCTTGTACTGGCCAAAGTGCGCGCGCTCAGCAGACGGCAGGTGACTATGAACAGCAAGGCGAGCAACAGCCTCACGAGTGGTCCACTGCGAGCGAACCGTACTGTCAGCAGTGGCAGCAGGTGCAGGAGAGACACCAGACGTGTGATCGAAAAGGGATACTCCGTCCTTGGAGTCACACTGAAGAAAGAGCTGTAGGTCGTCAACCCACACGTCAAAGTCAACCGCACGCCCCTCAGCATCAAAGGTAAGAACATTAGGGCTAGCCATAGCGGCAGTAGCAGCAGTAGCAGCAAGAGCAGCGCGGGCAGGTCAGTGCGGCTCAGTAGGGCGGCGCGGCTCGGCAGGGCGGCGCGGCTCGGTTGGGCGGCGCGGCTCGGCTGGGTGGCGCGGCTCGGCTGGGCGGCGCGGCTCGACAGGAGCGGCGCGGCTCGGCTGGGCGGCGTGGGTGCTTACCAGGGGCGGGTGCAGGGCAGGACCGCAGCTGGCGGTTAGGTCTGGGCCGCGACTAGGGCGGCAGTAGGGCAGGGCCGCGACTTGGCGGCGGTAGAGCAGGGCCGCGACTGGGGCGGCTGAAGAGCAGGGCCGCGACGAGTCGGCGGCAGAGCAGGGCCGCGACAGGGCAGCAGCAGGGCAGGGCCGCGGCTGGACGGCGGTAGAGCAGGGCCGCGACGAGCAGCGGCAGGGCAGAGGCCGCGGTGGGCGGCAAGGTCGGGGCCGCGACGAGGGGCGGCAGGGTAGGGCCGCGACGGGCGGCTAGGGTAGGCCGCGACGGGCGGCAAGGCAGGGCCGCGGGTGGCGGCAGAGCAGGGCCGCGACTAGGCGGCGAGGTCCGGGCCGCGACGAGGCGGCGACCGGGCAAGGCCGCGACGGGCGGCTAGGTCGGGGCCGCGACGGGCGGCACTAGGGTGAGGCAGGCGCGAGGCGCGCTTCGGGCAGGGCAGGAAAAAAAAATATTATAATCGGGGTGGGCCCTAAAAAAAAAAAAACGTTCCCACGAGGGAACCTGCTCAGAATACCATGTCAGAATAGTGAAGGAAGGAGTGACTGAACTAGCAAGCAGGTGGGTACAAGTAGGAAACCTAAAAGTATTGTACCCTATATGAACTACCCCACTACAGCCTACACAGGCTATAGCATATAAGTTTGACAGCTACGAATGTATAGTGATGACGTTCGGCCTCACAAACGAACCTTCGAATTTTCAACTGACCAAGAACAGGGTGTTTCGCAATCTTCTCGATAAGTGTATAATTGTCTACTTGGACGATATTCTGATTTTTAGCAGAACACGCAACCAACACCTCCACGACCTCGTTGTGGTATTTAAGCGCCTTCACGACAACCACCTCATCACCAAGGGTTTTAAGTGCGAGATTTTTAAGCAAGAGTTGGGTTTTTGGGGGCACGTCATCTCCCGCGACGGCATTAAAATCGACATGACGAAGATTACGACCATCCAGGAGTTGAAGTCCCGACTAATGTCAGAGCTTTTTGGGTTCGTGAATTACGTCAGGCAGTTTATCCCGAATATAGCGGGGATAACCGGCCCGCTGACCGACCTACTGCACAAGGACGGAAATTTTGTGTGGGGGGAGGAGGTTGAGGCGGCTTTTCAGGAGTTGAAAAAAAAAATCACGTCCCCTTCAGTTATACGCATCACCGACTCATCCAAGCCATTCGAAGTCGTAACCGACGTCTCAGATTTTGCCATCCGCGCTGTTCTCCTCCAAGATTTCAGCAACAGTTTGCAACCGATCGCCTACGAGTCACGCAAGCTACAGGCAGCCGAGCGCAACAACCCGATATACGACAAGGAGATGCTCGCCTACATTCACGCGTTCAAGCTTTGGCGCTGCTACTTGACGGGCGCCGACGTCACTGTTCGCACAGACCACAAGTTACTACAGTGTCTCCGTGCGCGACCCAACCTCATCCCGCGAAAAATCAGGTGGCTCGACTACATAGATACCTATTTCACCTACTGTTCCGCCCGACTCCATGGTGTTCGAACGGCAAGACTTAGAACCACGGCTCTGATACCACTTGTTAACTACTATTGGGACTAGAAACCTCTAAGCACACCTTTAATTCACACTAGTTTGTCCCCACGGGGTCACCTCCAAGGGTCCTTGGGTGCCTGGCAAAGCCAGCCCCTAACCAAGGGTCCGTGTTTGTCGAGGGACGTACTAATTGTAAATACAGTCGTGTGTACTAGAACTTTCCCAAACACATTTGCGCAGCGTTAGTTGACGGATTGGCTCGTGTGCGGAATTTCTCCTCGTGTCAATACGTCGATAGAGAATATTTCATTCACAAAAAGGTTAATCACAAAAAAACGCAAGCACAAATTTATACTAGCCCACAAAAAACGAAAGCTAACAGCCCACCGAAATAACAACTAGAACCATACTCCGAATTGCCAACTTTCTCCATGTGAAACCACTGGCAACATACTCGCCCATGAACGTTTATGTGGGCCATACTTGTTCGCGAAGCCTCGTGGACGCTCGTGGTGTTTCGTGGTGACCACTCGTGACAGCTCACGGAATCTTCTGAAGAAATCGCGCAGTTACGCGACGAAATTACGAAGTCGCCGAAATCACTCGCGCACAATTCGCACCAGCATCGAATGTAAATCGCGCGCTTCACGAAACACCCCGTAGCGAAATTCCTCTCGGCTAATGAGGACAAACAGCTCGAGGGTCCCACAGTTCAATTGTGGACCCACGCGCGCTTGACTTTTCCTCACACAATCCATAGTACCACACTTGCGCGTGTGGCGAATCCACCTGCGGCCTCAGGCCGCGCGTGTGCACACGTTGGCACACTTCCATGATTGCGCCACAATCCCAACAGTGCTCGAGCTCATGGCTTCAAGCCTTGACCACCTCGATAAGGGCGAGTTCTCTTAAGCCTCATTAACAAACACGAAATTACTTACGAACTCATTAAAACAATCAAAACGCAACTCCCAAACTTTACCTGAAAACTCACGAACTTGCATGAAATCACACGAACGTTTCACGAACAGACTCACGAACATTCACGACACTTTCACGAACACTCATGACTCGCAGAACAAATGAAATAACAGGAACGCACACAAAATCTCGGAACTCACGAAACTGTCAGATTTATATGACATAGCTACTGTAGGCTATAGTGGGGTAGCACATATGGGGTACAGTTTTCTAGGGTTTGCTTTTGTACCCAACTTTCCCTTAGTCAATTCATTCCTCATTTCTTCACATGGTATAGAGCAGGTTCCCTAGTGGGAACGCTTCCTTGGGCCCACCACTGAAACCTTTTTTTTCTGACCGGAGCGACAGTCGCTCCTGCCCGAGGCGCGCCTTGTGGGCCGCCCTTCTGTCGAGCTCTCTTAGAGGCCCCTCTCACGGCCCCTCGCGCCACCCTTAGCGGCCCCGTCGCCGCCCCTAGCGGCCCCGTTGCCGCCCTTCTAGGCCCCTTGCGGCCCCTAGCGGCCCCATTGCCGCCCCTACGCAGCCCCAGTAGCCGCCCCTAGCGGCCCTGTCGCCGCCCTTAGCGGCCCCGTTGCCGCCTCCCTCCCTACGCGGCCCCGTTGCCGCCCCTACGCGGCCCCGTCGCCGCCCCTAGCGGCCCCGTCGCCGCCCCTACGCGGCCCCGTCGCCGCCCCTAGCGGCCCCGTAGCCGCTCCCCTCCCTACGCGGCCCCGTCGCCGCCCCTACGCGGCCCCGTCGCCGCCCCTACGCGGCCCCGTTGCTGCCCCCTAGCGGCCCCGTCGCCGCCCCTAGCGGCCCCGTCGCCGCTCCCCTCCCTACGCGGCCCCGTAGCCGCCCCTACGCGGCCCCGTCGCCGCCCTTACGCGGCCCCGTCGCCGCCCCTAGCGGCCCCGTCGCCGCTCCCCTCCCTACGCGGCCCCGTCGCCGCCCCTACGCGGCCCCGTCGCCGCCCCTAGCGGCCCCGTCGCCGCCCCTACGCGGCCCCGTCGCCGCCCCTAACGGCCCCGTCGCCTCCTCCCACCCTACGCGGCCCTGTCGCCGCCCCTACGCGGCCCCGTCGCCGCCCCTAGCGGCCCCGTCGCCGCCTCCCTCCCTACGCGGCCCCGTCGCCGCCCCTACGCGGCCTCGTAGCCGCCCCTACGCGGCCCCGTCGCCGCCCCTAGCGGCCCCGTCGCCGCTTCCCTCCCTATGCGGCCCCGTCGCCGCCCCTACGCGGCCTCGTAGCCGCCCCTACGCGGCCCCGTCGCCGCCCCTAGCGGCCCCGTCGCCGCTCCCCGCCCCTAGCGGCCCCGTCGCTGCCCCTACCCGGCCCCCGTCGCCGCCCCTAGCGAGCAGCCGAGCCGCCGAGCCGCCCAGCAGCTGAGCCGCCGAGTCGCCCAGCAGCCGAGCCGCCCCTGGAGCAGCCGCCACTGCAGCAGCGCCCCTGGAGCAGCCGCCACTGCAGCAGCCGCCCCTGGAGCAGCCGCCACTGCAGCAGCCGCCCCTGGAGCAGCCGCCACTGCAGCAGCCGCCCCCGGAGCAGCCGCCACTGCAGCAGCCGCCCCCTGGAGCAGCCGCCTCTGGAGCAGTCGCCCCTACAACTGCCGCCCCTGGAGCAGCCACCCCTGCAGCTGCCGCGGAGCTCTCGCTCTACAGTGGTAGCGGCCTCGCCGTTGCCGCCGTCGTACGCCTGCCCTTCTCGCCACTGGTGAGCACTGCCCTGCCCGTACTGCTGTTACTGCTGCTTTTACTGCTGCTGCTCTTTCTACTGCTACTGCTGCTCCTGGCGTGGCCAGATGCAGCTCCAGCGTCGCCCGCGTGAGTCCCTCACCCCCCAACAGCTTCGTGCGTGGTACGCTAGTTGGGGTTGTCGGGGTGGCCGTAGTGGGAGTCGTCCTGGAGTGAGTAGTTCCACAGCTGCTTGTAGTGGCCAGGTGCAGCTGCAGCGTCGCCCGCGTGAGTCCCTCACCCCCCAACAGCTTCGTGAGTGGTACGCTAGTTGGGGTTGTCGGGGTTGGCCGTAGTGGGAGTCGTCCTGGAGTGAGTAGTTCGGCAGCTGCTTGTAGTGGCCAGGTGCGGCTTCAGCGTCGTCCGCGAGCAGTCCTTTCGCCCCAGCAGCTTCGTGAGTGGTACGCTCAGCGTGACGGGTCACGGGGTACTGCTCGCTGTCCGTACGTCATTCGCACTGGTGCTCGGACTGGTCAGCCTTGCGGGACGTTGGGTCACGCAGAGTCCCGCTGCTTCGCCCGTCTGAGCGACGCCTGGCGTACGGAGTTTGGCGACGCGGCTGAGCTCCCCGACTGGGTG